CGCAGCATGTGATAATGAGTATTACTGAGTGAGTGTTGAAAGAACTAACGTTGAGTGAATCTCCACGATGGTGGCTGTGCCAAGACTCGGGTAGGGAGTTGTGGCCTGCTGACTGGTGTCCTCTCTTCAGTGGATGTGTGTGTGTTTAGTCACGAAGAATCATAATAATAATGTAGCATCTGTACTCAATGACACCTGACTACCTCCATTACATAATCGTATAAACAATGTATGACACGGTCAAAGTCGCAAAGAAAAGGACGGTCACGAGCAAGGCGGTAGCACCACAATGTGCTCACTCTAAATGTGGGTGAATTCATGAGCAGTGGTATAATGACAGGAGAGTAACTAGTGCTTACATATGTACACACTTATAAACTCTCACTGTATTACTCGGCAGCAGTCCAGCACCAGCACAGCCCTACAGAGAGTCTTCTGCATGTCGTGGGATATGGAGTTTGTCCCGATGCAGCTGTTGGTGTCAGGATCAGAGGCCTGTCGGTCCACTGGCATGAGGTACGAGGTGCTCCCCACGTGGAACCCGTGTCCAGAGTAGTAGAACAGGCCGTAGACTCCCGGGGACAGGAGGCTGTAGAACCAGTCCAGGACCTGTTTCATCTCGAGCAGTTTCAGGTTCACAAACACAAACACCTGAAATTGGATAGACCAGAGCTATTATTACATAGGTGCCAAGAAACCACATGAATTGCAGACAAACTGGTAAAGGGAATGTTGATTATAAGGGTTAAATTTTGAAACTGTTCATGAATAGCACTAAGGTGCAAACCTTCGGTGCACTAAAAATGCCGAACCTATGTATGCGCGGTGCCGCTACATGATATGCTATACTCTCTTGCTAGTCTACCTTTGCTGCGTATGTGCACTGAGGGTTTATGGAAGCACTTGAAGTATATACTCTTCCTGACATTATTACAAAAGCAGCCCATACCAAAAATCGTAAAAAAAGAAAACTACAGTTTAATCCGAAAGGGTTATGTTGTGAGTTAAGCAAAAGCAAATATCTACGGGCCATGCATTAAAAAAATAATATAACTCGATGTTGTGCACAATTACGATCATCCATAGATAGTTTTAGGCGAAAAAATAAATTCTAAGGTCGAAAAAAAAAAATGGGCCAGCCCTCCGACAGATGTCTACGGACGCAGTGCTATGCCGAACTGTACGCTGCCCTTTGAGATGTATGTGGGTCAATGGTAGATTCGTGGGTAAGGGGAGGAACCAGAGCTGTTCCCAGCCAATGCTCTGGACCACCTGTCAGTTTCAGTGCGGGTCCGGGATTCGAACCAGGCACCTTATGTGACAGTCCCCACGTCTCTAACCACTTAGCCACTTGGGCTGGCCACGAGAGATGATGAAAAAACGTTCCTCTTAAATCAACACTCATATTACATCATCATAAAAAATGACCCAGACAGGGATCGAACCTGGGACCTCCCGATCTAGAATGTGACTCCTTATCCATCAGGCCACACCCAATACTTGGGAGTGGCATGTTCAATACTGTATAAAATAGCAATTAATTGTTTTTTGCCGGACTATCACATGTGTGCAAACCCTTGGCGAACTAGAAAACACACACACAGAAGTACACCCATACATGGTACCGCTAATCGATGGGGTTGGGCATACTCATACTTGTTAGCTAGCTCGCTGAGAATCTGTCACCAGCTACCTACACTATTAGATAGCATTGAGCAAGCGGATCAGATAGAGGGAAGCCTGTGCTAATTTGCATATTGGTGTTATCATTTGGTTTTCACGTCATTAAATCATATCTCGAGTGCAATACTTTTACGATATAAAGCCAGTGTAGCACTGAAGCTTTTGGTATCCCTGTTTTGTTGTCTCGTTATGCGTGGTGGCAGTGTACCACTGACGCAATATCCCTTACATAGTGTTTATACAGACCTTGAAGTCCAGTAGTCTGAGTTTCTCTGCAACACTCCTGACCTCTTGCTCAATGCACTTGAGATTGTTGAGTTTGTCACAGCCACTGTACCGCTGGTTACCAATCAGGAGGGCTACCTTATCCCTCGCTATAACATAATGGACAAATACAATGTATTATACATTGCATAATAGATTCTAGTGGCTGACCATATCTCTGTCCGGATAGTGTGGAAAGCATTTCTTCAGCTGAAAAAAGAAAAGAAAAGAAGAATATCTGCATCCAAGCAGCACCAAGTTACAAATCGAAAACCTACGCTGTACAAAAGTGCAAATACGTACACAGCACCAATACCAGTGTCTAAACCAGAAAAGCTGTACAATATGAAGCACCAAAGCAGTGTAGAAATTTAAAAAACTACACAAGATTACAAAGGTGCATGGAGATGGTAAAGTTTCTCACCCTCGGCTTGCTGGTGATTGTGGTGTCCCTTGGCAGGCGGAGGGTCGGGTGCAGGTTCGTGGGTGTAGGCACTGAGTGAGTGGACCTGGACACCTCCTCCTGCACTCACTTCACACTGGTAGGTGGCTGACCCTCCACCACTCTCCCTGGTACATATATATCACCATGTATTGTCATCCAGGCTCTTAACTTGAGCATGACACATAGGCTTGTAAGCAAGTAAGGGTGACATTGTAACTTTAGCACGAAGACACATATGTAGGCTTGTAAAGCTGATGTTGGTGAATATTGCCTACATGTAAGATGTCCTGATGTGAGCATAAAAGCCATAGCTTACCTAGAGTACAATCTTACGGATTGGATTTCATTATCAGGGCATTTATTACTGTTTGATTAACATACTCGATCAGCTCAGGGGCGGTCGCATTTGGAATAGGTTTATTGTCCTTCATCCACTGATATTGCAAAGGCTGGTCTGGGGTGACTTTTGCACTGCACTCATCCTGAACCCTTCCCTTGGTTTCACCACCCACGACACTGGGTGTCTTAGTATGGTCACCTGTGGTGGGAAGGGGTCTAGCAGGAAAGAAAGGAGAGAGGGTGATAATAATCATTTTGCTGACTCTATACAAAGTGAAAGAGAAAGCTGGCTGTGTGCGTTTGTAAGTATACACCACCAAGCAAACTGCACTATAGCAACACTAGCAGCAGGGGTGCACGAGTCCTGCGAAGCAGGTTAAAGAGCGCGAAACTGCGTAAAGCAGCATTTCTACATAGGCGCTGCTCAGTAAGTGGTGAGTGAGCAGAGCAGAGATGAAATGCTCCCTTGCCCCACTATTTCGGGCTAATGCGCTCCTGCTAGTAAAGAGACCCAGACAAACAAATGGCATGTGTAATATGACTGGGGGAAGCTAGTGGTAGCTACTCACCGCCGGCCATGGTGACTGAGAGGTGTACTTCCACTGACTCCACAAACTCATTCTCGAAACAAGCCTGACAGACGTAGTAGCCGCGGTGGTTGATATTGAGCTGCTCAAACAGCAGTGTTCCCTCCGACTGCTGTGGCTGGAGGGCCTTCTGCAGTGGCTCCTTCTTCCCGTCCTTGGTACTTGACATCAGCCACATGTACCTGACAAACACCACACATGTATCGTATCAAGTTAACTTGGCTAGCGTACGTGACTCTGTGGTATTGTGCCAATGGAAGCATACACAGGTACATACCCAATTTTCTCCTTGGAGGAGACAGGTTGGATGAAATCAGCCCGACAGTAGAGAGATACACATTCTCCAGTTTGTCCGTGAACATCACGAGGCTGGGCCGTGATCTTAACTGCAGTATTATATAATGTATATCACATCCAATGCGAAAAGGTTTGCATAACCTATACTGTCCAGCAGCACAGTGGTTTGAGGTTTGCCTTGTGTTGTATTGTGTTGTGTTGTAGATTCGAACCCCTACCAGCTGAGTTGCCCTGGTAGCCCAGTTGGTAGGGCGCTCGCCTAGACGGAGTGTCGTGGGTTCGAATCCCACCTAGGGCAGCTCTTCTATTCTCCTTGAAAAAAAAAGAGCTGTCCTGGGTGTAGTTGACTTGTTTGTTGTGCCTTTGCCATTCTACCTCGTAGTGTACACATGCATACTTGAGAGTACTACAAAGCAATGCCTAAGAGTCTCTGGGCAGACATACACATAATGTACCATCAGTAAAAGTGGTGACCCTAGTTTACAGTAAAACTCACTGGTGTTGATGGAGACTCTGGTGGTGGATGAGAGCATGGGCAGCTGCTCTGGGTGCTCCCTCAGTCCCACCTGACAGTAGAACCTACCAGAGGACTTTGTACAGAACACTGACTCTGTTGCTCCATTGATGGCTGGAGAGGGAGACAAGGTATATATAGAGCAGGGGTACATTAAAGTGGGGCAACAGAGGTGTTAACCTTGACCTTTGCGACTAAAAGGCTACAGCATACAGACAGTCGAGCCTTGCAAGCGATGCTAATGAATGCAGAAAGATTCGAATAACTGTAGTGGAATTAGAGCAAATAAAATGCTTGCTGCGTATAAACCTGTGTATGTATATGTGTCAATAAAGCAAGGCAAAGGCAAAGCAAACAAGTCAGCTATACCCAGGACAGCTCTTTTTTTTCGTTTTATGTCTATTGGCTTACGTCTCTTGTTCCTGAACCACTGGTAGGTAACCGGGCCTCTCTTGCTGCTAGCACGGCACTGGAGGCTGATTGGCTCGTCCTTGTATCCCTGCAAACTCTTGGGAGGTTGTTGGTCTATCGCAAACACTGGAACTGCAGCACATTCAACACATAACGTGTGAAACTGATACTGACTTCTCATCATACTACATGAGTTATGACAAAACGCAGCTCACAAACCCATTCCTATCACCCCCCAGGAAAAGATGTAGAGGGTGCCCTTGAGTTTTGCTGGAACATGAAAGGGCAGCCCAACAAAAATATGCATAAAAGGTGACCTAATATTAAATATTAGCCCTTTATGGGGGGAGGATACACACATTGGGTGATACATAAATGAAGGATGGGACACAGTCTTAAAACGCAGTGCAACGTGTCCATAACTTGGCCAAATGTTAAAAATACGCACATACACTGGGACCGCTAGTTAGACAGGCATACATACCCACAGTGAGGGAGACAGCGTCAGACATGACAAAGCCACCCTGAGGGTTGGTCATCTTGCACTGGTACTGTCCAGCATGCTCCAGCCTCACTTGATGGAACTCTATTTTACCCGAACTGTTCCGTGAACTGACATACTGGTTATCTCTGAACCTGAGTGGCAAACACAGCACCAAGCTAACACGTTTGGGCCAGCTGCAATTTCATAGTTGTACATATTGGATTATCGTTTCAAGTATTTTTTCATTCCAGCTAGGGACGCACGTATTGATGGGGCAAAAATTATGTCTCGGAATCCCGCAGGAATTAAAGGATACAATTAAGTTTGTTTTTCCAAAAAACGCGTTCAGGTAGTGCCTCCTTTTCAAGGAATGACAGCAAGAAGTAATGTGTAGCAATGGGTGAGAAATATAGGCACTTCTGGGTTTTAACTGTGGATGAGTGGCTCACCAGTCATATGTGATGTCAGTGCCGTTGGCCCGACACTCGAGGAGGGCAGGCTGGCCATACTCAACCATCCAGGGATTGTGGCTGGGAGATGATGACAGGAGGAAATGGAGGTGGATCTGTTAGGTCACCTGTCGTCTCTGGAGGAATGCAACAGAGAAAGTGGCAGACTATGGGTAAAATAGAACTTTGGCAAGCATAAGCAGCACGACCCACCAGCCTATACCACTGATAAACAAGACACTGTGACGAAAGCCAGTTATACAGATGTGTAACTGGTTAGGTGAATGTTAGAGCCCTTTGGGACCCTATTATATCTTGCTCGTATATACTAATGTCACACAAGCCCCGAAACAAGATAAAATTGGGATCCTTACGCCATTGCCAACTAAGCACGATGCTAGCCTACTTGAATGGGTACATATTACCTTGTCTGATGGGAGTTTTCTGCCGCAAGTCCCTTGGCTCCACCTTGACAGTCACCTCTCCAGAGAAGACGTTGGCTCTCTGAGGGTCATTGATGTTGGGGTTGGTGGCTCTGCAGATGTAGTCCCCACGGTGTGCCACATTCACCTCCTGTATCACCAGTCTGGAGGGAGAGAGAGGTAGAGAAAGATAGACACGCTGAGCAAGAAGAACACTTGTATAGAGTATGTATATACATACGTCAAAGTTAAAGCTTTTTACTAAAGATAGAACAAAACAATAGGGGCACAGCGAAAGAATGCGAGTGAGTTCGTTGGCACTGCAACACCCACATTTACCCCAGACCTGATGAATTCTAGTAAGACTAGAGAAAGGCTATATGCTGACATTCAATGGAGAGTGTACAGTGCGTAAAACATTTCAATACGGTGTGATGGCTGTGGGTTATACGCTATACACTATACAGTACTGTTTCAACACACATTAAATTTTCTGAAATGTGATACAAGTAATCTTCACTGACATGTTGGAGTGGGAGTCAATGACAGGCTCCCAGTCAGACTGGGGGCCATTCCTCCTGAACCAGAAGAAGGAGGGCGTGCCTGGTTTACACCTGGCCCGGCACTCTAGCCTCAGCTCCTCCCCCTCCAACACACTCTGAGACTGCGGCTGTTGGGTGATCTCTGGTCGAGCTGGGAGACAGAGAGAGATGTATAGATGTGGAGGTCTGTTCTTTAGTCACGTTTGCAAACAACTTAGTTCCCTGGCCTTCCTCGCTTGATCATTACGTATGCAGACTACTTGTAAACACAGTCAGTGTTCTGACTTGTTTGCCTTGCCTTTCTACCTCATCACACACACACACACACACAAACACACACACACACGTGAATTTGGCACAGACAACATTATCATAAATACTCTTTTGGGCAGAAAGATGCGTCACTGCGTCACTAGCATGGTATAAGATGTAACCCCAGGAAGATTTGAATCGCAGACCTACAAAACCATGGGTTTACTGGATAAGCTCTAGAGCAAAAATCTGTACACTTGACTCCAGTGTATTGGATACCAACTCACTGGCAGAGCGGAACTCATTGAGAGCTCTCTGGCAGCCAATTCTCTCCAGACAGGAGATGAACTCCTCGAGTGGAAGACCTCTCCTCTGGAGGTCGGTCAGTAGGAGGAGACTGGGGCTCTCGTCCCTCAGAGTTGCCATCCCATACTCTGTCAGCTGTGGTGGGCGAGTCGTAGGAAAAATTATACCAAGAGCGCTGACACGGATAGCTGAGTGATGTATATATTATAGCTCATAACCATGGGTCTTGTGGCTTACTACGGTGTATTATGGTTAAGTGTGCAATATCGGCTTAAAATCGGTTACAAACTTGCTGCATACAATACTGTTTAGTACAGTAGTCCGTATGAGTAAAAATATTGGGAATGATGTCACTATAAAAGAGACAAGCTAAGTCAAGCTGAAACTGAAAATGTATCATGGCATGAGCACGTGAGGTTATTATACATCTCACATTGCAAATTCTATCCCCACCAACACACTACTATTCCTGGACCGTTCACTAAAATGTCAGAGCCAAACCTGAGAGCGCGTGTAGGTGAACTTGGCCCCCAGTGGGGGCGGTAGGCGACGGAGCTCTGCACAGAGGAGACTGTAATACTGCTCCACGTCTTCCTCCTTCTGCCCGGGGGCCAGCGGGGGAAATCTATCCAGGCAGTGAGCCACCTCCACCAGCTTTTTCTCACGAATGTCCCTCACAGTGGCAGCCATCTCTTTGTTGCTGATGATGTGCTTGCTGAATCAGCTGTTTATATGAATGACGTAATGCTTGAGGCCTCAGCAATCCTTTTTGGAGCGCATCAAACCCTCGACTTACAAAACTGGTTGGCTAGCCATGTCGTTAGTGGCTTACGGAGACAGCAGCTCAGACAGCGAGGCAGAAGAAGGACCGGAGCCTCCAGCGGACGCCGCCAAGTCGGACGTAAGGAAGCTGCTGGGGCTCTTGCCGCCTCCGAAAGGGAGCAAACCCTCTGGCAAGCACCCAGTCCGGATCTCTATCCCGACTGTCAAGTCAGGGGTATGTTATTAGCCCCGCCACTGCACCGTAATACGGGTGTACATCTAATCCCTAACTGTAGAAGGATTCTGATGATGAGGAGGAAGAGTCAACTCAAGTAAAGAGAGTGAAGATTGTAAGTGGTGGTGATTCTGCGTTGGAGCAAGTCTTATAGATTTCCTTTCCCCCTCTATCATCCCTGAAGCTTTTCCTGTTTGTTTATCTCCTCTCTCCCTTTTGGTACGAGTTTCAAGCTGTGCCATATGTATAGATATGTACTTTTTTCTGATAATCCTTCCATTTCTGTCTTCCTGTCTGGCCTATCCTCCTATCCCCCCTCCCCCCCTCTCACAGAAAGGTGGTGCCAGTAGACTCACTGCCCTACTCCCAGAGCCCAAGTCCCACCCCAAGCAGCTCGGAGCCCTTCGACGCAGCACCACGCAGACCATGGTCCCCTACACCCTCAGCAAACGTCGACAGGACAGCATCAAATCTGAGAAGCTCAAGGCAAAGAGAACCAAGTCTCGCGGTGGCGGGAAAGTGGCCACTTCGCCGGGGGATGCCGGGAGTGACAGCGACGAAGAGCCTGTCAGCTTTTTCTCACACTTGGAGGAGACTGAGACAGACGCTAGTAGTAGCTCTGGGACTGTTGTAGCTCCTCTCAAGGTCTCGGGCCCTGTTTTTACCACTCCTTCAGCCAGCGAATCTCTGAGTCCTGCCACTAGCAGTGAGGAGAGGGCGACAGACTCCACTCAAATTGGTTACCCCGCCACCAGTAACCAGTCTTTCGCTGGATATGTTGAAGGGTCTTATCACCAAATCCCTTACGATTCTTCTCAGCAACAGGAGAGAGCGTCGGATATTCTTGGGAGAGATTTTCGAGTCAAGCTGCCAATTCAGCGCCTGCAAATTCCGCGCCGTACACTGCGCAACCGTACATTCCTCCACAGCACAGCACTGGTGGCCGCACTGACACTGCTAATACGCCGACTGATGTTGCTGACGGTGATGGTGGTGAGTCTGGTGAACCTAGTGAGGCTGGTGCTAGTGGTGAGGGTGGTGCTGGTGGTGAGGGTGGGGAAGGAGGAGAAAAGGTGATGGAAGGGACTGGTCCGGGAGTCATAATAGACCAGGAAGCTGTAAGTTGTCTTTCTCCAGTATTACGTATAGTATTGGGTAGAGTATAGGTTGAAACTTTACAAATAATGCCCCACTTTTCAGTCAGTTTCTCTCCCAAACTCAATTACACACCATTTACATCCACAATCCCTCTCTCTCTCTCTCTCTCTCTCTGTGTGTGTCAGCTGCGGCGGCTGGCAGGGGGAAGCCACAAACGCAGGGGTCGGGAGGATGCTCTCAACAACATCGTTGACATCCTGGGAGACGAGGTCATGGAGGACGTCCGCGTATACCAGAGACACTATGGGGAAGACCCTTCAATCACCAAGCTATATAAAGTTGACAATGTATGGAATCTTCACATTCTTGTTATGTCTAGAATGTTTACAACATAATTTTGTGCCTCAAGTTTAAAATTTTGTGCCTCAAAGTTAATTTTGGTGCCTCAAAGTTAAAAATGTTGTGCCTCAGAGAGGTTTGGTCTTTGTTTCCACACAGTCCAAGTTAAAGACTCCGACGAGTAACCAGAAGCGGAAGCACCAGATCACCTGGCTAGCCCACGAGGTAAGACCGTCTCTCCACAGCCACATCTGCTACCAATAACACCCCAAGTGCCCAACTCTTGCTAGAAAGCATACTGTTTGCACAACATGTAGGTCAAACAAAATAACCAGAAACTCTTGAAAAGGGATGTTTTGCATACCTATACCAACTATCTGCAAGCAGCAAAAACACTGCCCTCCTATATTATCACAAAACACCAAGAATTCTTTTTGGGAGACTCCTTGGCTGTATATATCTGCAGGGTAGCTGTGTAAATTTGCCTTCCTGTCTAGTCTGTAAGTGTGTTAGAGTGCCCCACCCCTTGTGGCCTGTGTAGAGAGAGTAGTGTGATTGTGTTGTTCATGCTGCAGGCTAAAGAGAGAGAGTTGGACCTACAGAAGCATTGGGCCGTGGGGAGCCAGGCCAGGAAAGACAGTCGCTCCAA